CTGCTGAACAACTTTCTGTTTAATTATTTTCTTTCCTTGCTGTATGGTCTTTTGTGTAGGAATTGTATTTTGTAATACTACTGTACTACTACCAGTTTTCATTTGCCCAGATCTTCCTTGTGAAGTAGCAGACATTGAAACTTTGTGTGATTTTTGTAACATAGGTAATTGCACTTTTTGCTGTACAGATTGATATTGTACCTTATTTCCTTTAGATGGACTTTTTGCTGCGATAGCTTTCACTTGTTGTCCTGTTATTGGTGTCAAAACTGTTGCTTTGGTACTTACAATACCTTGAGTACTTAAAATTGTTTTACCAGTAATAGCTTGAGATATAGGAGTCAAAATAGCCTTAGAAGAACCCAAATTCTGTGAAGATAAAATGGTTGTACCTTTTGTAACTAAGGCTTTTGACCCAATAATAGTTTTTCCACTTAAAGTAGAAGCACTTATTGGTGTATAAATTCCGCCTTTTGTGAGAATTCCTTGAGATAATGTCCCTAATAGAGCAGTTTTTCCAATTGTTCCTGAAATAGGAGTTAGGACTCCTTTTGAAGCTAATATGCCTTGTGTATTAATAACTTTATGTCCAGCAGGAAGTTTAGATGTTGTTGCTGAAACACCATCTCCTTTTGGTGCAATGATTGTTTTTGAATTTATAATACCTTGTGGACTAATAGGACAAAATACTTGCCCCTTGCTTGTCATAATTCTTTGAACTTTACCACTTAATGTTTTAGAGATATTTAAAGGTAGCATTTTAGTTTGACCTGATTGTGCTGATGTTAATATAACTACTTTACTACCTTGTTGAACTACTTGTGCATTTCCAGTATTTTTACCAGTTGGTATAGCAATTTTTTGTTGTGTACCAGTTTTTCCTTGAACACCATATCGTAATTGTTGCCCTCCAGAGGTTTGAACCACTACATATTTTCCCGATGAACCCTTCTGGGTTAAAAGAGGTGGTACTTTGTTTGTTGCTGGTGTATTTTGAAATTTTATACCTTTTACACCACCTGTAAATGGTGGTACTAGCGTTTTTATACTCGTAATTGTAGGTTTTGCTTTAGTTTTATTTTTCAAAATTGCCGGAGGACCACTCTTTTTCTTTGTAGGTGATACTTCACTAGTAGTTTCATTCAATTTAAATTGAGTTTGAGTAGGGGATACTATTTGTGTAGTTGGAGTAAAAGATAGTGTTGCTGGAATTGTGCTGGATGCAGGTATAATAGAGGAAATAACAACAGGCATTTGTTCAATACTTTCAGGAGTTAAAACATCTTCACTTAAAACAAATGGCATTGAATTTATGTCTAGTTCCATATCTGCCAAGCTTTGTGAACTTTGTTGAATGTACTTTTCACTTGTAGTTGTAGTAGGAGTTTTTGAGCTTTTTACATTTAATTGTTCATTTTGTGCTTCTATCATTGTTGCTGTTTCTGCCTCTTCAGCTTTTAAAACTTGTAACTTTTTAGTTATAGATAAATGTGGAGATGTAACCTTTGCACCAGTTTTCATTTTAGTATTTGAAGCTAAAGATTCAATTTTCATTATTTTCGCTTTGGAAGCTCCTTTCTGATCAAGTTTCTTTGTGCTCTCTGTTTCTAACTTATGTTTTATTCCTTTCTGCGGTAATTTATCTAATAATTTCGATTTTAAAATTTGCATCGGTTCAGTTAATGTTACGTTTTCAATTATTCGTGGCATTTCCCGTTTTTTCACCGGCACTGTAACGTCAGATGATGGAGAAGGTGTAGAAGTTGATGTTCTTGAGGATTCATCTAATTTATGCACATCTAAATTGATAGATTTAGAATTATCTTCAGTAGAAGGTGATTGTACCAATGATTTAGACATAATATTAAATTCATTTGATGACGATGATGTAAGTTGATCAACATTTTGGAATATAGTCTCATCTACTTTTGTTTCAATTTCAAGATTTTGATCAACTACTACTTCTATATTTCCAAAGTTGCTCATAACTGTAACTTGATTGTCTTCAGAAAGATTAGGAATATTTTCTGAAATATTTGGCTCTTCAATTGTTATATTTTGAGTTGTCTCAGAAGAAATATTTGTATCTACTATCTCTTCAGTTTTCTTCTTCACTAATTTTTTACCTTTCTTTGCCTTTCCAGTTGTATCAGAATCACCAACTGTACCCTTTTTCTTGTCCATGTGTAAAGTTTTTAAGAAAGCTTCTTGGAATGTATTTGTTGATTTTTCTTCAAGGAAGAGCTCTTTATCTTTCTTTAATTTAGCACCTGTTTCTGGGGTAAATTTTCCTTTATATCTTGTTTGTATTGATGTTCTATTTTGAGCTTGTTGTTCACTTAATGTATTTATTGGATCTTTAGATAATTGTTCCAAGTTTTCTAATTTAACTTCTTGTTCTTGTTTTCCCAATGTTTCCATTCCAATATGATGAACTTTTTGATTTATTGATACAGTTATTTCTTTATCTTGGACTTTATTTTTTTCCTCTTTCTGATTTGCACCTTTTGTAATTTCTACATTATTGGTATCCATTTCATGTTGTTCTGAGATATCTCCCTTTGATTTTAAAGAACTAACTGCTTTTAGATCCGTATTACTTTCACTTGCTTCAGTACTTAAATTTTCTAATTTTTCTTTTCTATTATCTAATTCGGAATCGACTGTGATTTTATTAGTAGAAGTATCAGTATCAAAAAAATCAATTTGCGATAACTCAAACTTTTTTATTTGAGATTTTTTAGGAGGAAGCATGTCAATAGTTTTTGAAGTATCCAGTTGATGAGACGTTTCTTTCTCTGGTGAAAACTTCAATTGAAGTGTATTTGAAGATTCTATTCCAAAATTTTTCAAATCTTCTTGTTGAAAATTGCTTGATGTTAGTATGTTTTCAGTGTCATTGTCCTTTGTTTTAGCATGTTCAAATATTGCACCTTCAGATTTAGAAGTACTATCTTCTACTGCTAAAGACTTTGTACTTTCAAAAACAAACGTATCAGATCCTTTTGGTACAATTTTTTCTTCAATTGGTACTTGTATCTTTTTAGGAATTTCAATAGACGTTTGATTGTCACTAAGTTTTTCATCTAATTCTATAAGCACTTGCTTTTTAGATGTATCCTCAAGTAAATTATCTTTTAATTCTTTATTTGAAGAATTGATATTATTTTCTGTTGTATCCATTGTATTACAAGAAATTTCTATTTCTTTTCCTTCTTTAAGTTTAATACTCTCATTTATTTTCTTGACATTTTCTATACATCTCTTACTTCTTTTTGATTTGATTTTTACTTTTTCAAAATTTTCTTCATTTTCAGATTGACTTTCATCAGTCTTATATATTTTTTGATCTACATCTTGTACATATATATCGGATTCTACATATTTTTTATTTGGTTTTCGTTTTCTTCCACTATATGAACGTTCGCTATCAGATTCTGAAGTTCTTCTTTCTAATTCAAATTTTTCAAAAGTTTTTGGACTATTCTTATTATCTCTTCTTCTTGGACTTTCACTGCCACTTGCACTTCCACTAGTACTAGTACGAACAGATTCTGATTTCCTTGGTCTACCCCTACGTTTAAGAACTCGTGGAATAATATTTGACTGATCATTGTTTAATAAAATGTTTGTAGAATTTGAATTAGGCACTTGATCTTGATCCAGCATTTCTGCATCTGAATTTTCACTTTGTTCTGGAAAAGTTTCAGCAGATTCAGAGATAGTTTCATCTTCTGTTTCTACTGTAAATCGTTCAGACAAAGTTTCTTCAGTTTGCTTTAAAGGTTCGCGTTCTATGTTTTCTATATTTTCTTTAACAGTTGTATGTTTAAAATCTGCATGTTTATCAGCAGTAGAATCATTATGAATATTTAAATCTTTATTTTCTGTTAATTTTTTATTAGTATTTAATGTTAGATTTATTGTTGCAGAATTTTGTACCTCAATATTTTTTGAACTATTTGTAGCATTTTCAGTTTCAGTTTCAACTTTTTCAACTTCAAATATTTCTACAATTTCTAATTCTGTTTCACAAGTATTAATACTAGATGTTTGTATTTCTTCTGATTCTTTCTCAGATTTAATTTTTTCCTTTGTTTGCACAATTTCATTATTTGTAGCTCCTTTATTATCATCTTTAGCTTTGTCATTATTTTCATTTCTTTCTAAGGTCTGCTCACTTAGAGACAACTGTGTATCTAATTTTTCACATTCATTTGGACTAGTATTGTTATCTTCATCTTCAGGTTTATCATTTTCAGTTTCTTTTTCTTGTTCTGTTTTTAGAGCTTGGCTCATTTCAAATTCTTTTATTATTTCTTTTTTCTGATGAAATGCGCGTGCCTTTTTCCTTACAGGAGGTATAGATGGTTCTTCTTCATGGAAATCAAAACAAGATAATAACGACTTTTTGTCGTTTTTATCTGATGCATGCAGTTTACTTTCATTATCAATACTAAAAGTTTCTTTTTCTATTTGAGGTTTATTAGTAGATTCATTACTGTCAACATCAGACATTTTAGTATCTTTCTCTATCTCAGACTGTTTATCAAAAAGATTTGATTTTAAATTTTTTGAAGTATCGGAACTATCAGATAAAGAATCTTCTGTTATGTTAATTGTTGTAAGTTTCTCTGTTTCTTTAAGCAATTTTTCAGTTTCCTCGATTATTTCATTAGTATCTGTTACTACAGAATTATTTTCATTTGTTTCTTCTGACTTCTTAAAATCAAATTGATTCTTTGTTGGTGAATTATTTAGAGATGCTAAATCAGATGGTTTACTTTGATTTAAACTAATTTCTTCATCTGATTCATCTTCCCAGTCTGCTAATATAGTATCACGAATTTTAGGATCTGAAGTCTTCTTCTTCTTAGCAGCTTTGTCTGTTTGTTTAATTTGTTTTCTTTTACCAGATTCACTACTACTCTTACTTTTATTTGTCTGACTTTTCTCTTTCTTGGCATATTTTCTTTTTGGAGTCTCTACTTCAGGATACCTGTTTTTATACTGAGAATAAGTTTTAACTTTAGATTTTAATATTGGTGAATTTCCAGATCTATGACTTTTTATGTGACAGATGATAACATTAACTCGAGAAGAAGTAAAATTACATAAATGACAAGGATATTGTGGAGAACCACTATTATTTGGTGTAGATGATAAACTGCTAGGTTGTTGTCGAATTCGAACCTCATGATCACTTTCTCTTAAAAACCGTGGATGTGTAATTTTTCGTACAACTTCAATACTATCATTTTTTCTGTGACTTTCATCTCGTTCTCGTTTCTTTTTCGGAATTTTTTTGTCTCCAAATAAAGCTGATATATTTGGTTTTTCCTCTGGACAAAATTTATCATGACTTAATATATCAGGATCACCACCTGTTAATTTTTCAGCCATTTCAACATCTCCAGGAAATTTATCCATGTATCTGGAACCATCTTTGCTTCTGCTTCTATATTTATCTGCAAATAATATTACAAAATATATAGCTATGTATAATAGTCATTTTTAAAAAGGAAAGAAGGTGGTAATTTTATATATATTTTGATTATGTTTATTATTTTAAACTCTATACTGTTGAATACTAAAAATATAATTATTATAAACATAAAAAATCATACCTAATCCTTTCCTAATAAATTCGTCTTTCATGGTACAGTTATATTTATAAATCTGCTGATAATTCTTGACAAATTCACTGAAAAAGTAAATGAGATGTATATAAAGATATTAATTTATTTATACAATAACTATATAAATGCCTACAAATTAAAAATATAATTAAACATAAGTAGATAAAAATAAATTCTTATAATAATAAGGTAAAAGTATATAATTATATTAGTAAATAAAAAATGTTAGATTACTTACTATGTATCTTCTTGAAAAAATTTTACAGCAGCTATTAAAGGTTTCTTTTGAAATTCACGTTGAATATCTTCAGGTAAATTATGAAACCCAGTAACTTGTCCTGGCCACCAACAAGCTCCGAGTTTCACCCAAACAACATCTCCTTCCAAGTAATTAATTTCTGTTTGCTCGCACATTTTAGAAAGATATTTAATGTTATACTTTCACCAAATCAGCATTGAAATTCAACATAAATATCTTGTATATTTTCTGTTTTTAAATAAAGCACCACGAACAATTAATTGTTCTTGTATATAACAATACAAAAGAATTATTCTATTGTTCAAAATCTACTCTTAGTATGCAATAATAATAAATGATTTTGTTTCATTTAAAAAGAAACGTGATTAATATATAGGCAAAACCATATAAACAAATGCAATGTACAACTGCCAAATGAATGAACGATTCCCTTAAGTTTGTGGACACTTTGTGATTATGTTTCTCTCATTTTGTAAGTTGTCAAACTTAAAGTACATACATTGATAGTTCAAAGCACTTTTGATTTCTTTGTGTACATTATTATTAATTAACATAAATACGAAAGACAACGTAGTCACTATCAAATCCTCCAAAGAAAACATTTACTAAGCCTTAATTATTATGTCCTTCCAGATCTATAAATTGCACCATAAACATTTGCTTCAAAATCGTACAGAACGTATTTCCTTAGAAGAACATGACAAAAAAAAAGATAATACGTTAGCAAATTGTCGTTGTTTTCATGTTATATTATCTTGAACAAAGTAGCAATCATCTGCAGTACATAAAACACAAATATTTTTTTCGAAACAGCCAGTTAACTTGTAAGCACTGTTTAATATTTCAAAATACAAGAAATTGTTCACCCATATGCGCGGGCATATGTAAAAATGGGATCGGAGGTGTATTCGCGGGAAACCAAGAGCGAGCGTCGCTCCCCTTGTCGTGCACCGCTTCGTTGATCCTGATCTCGATGCCGACGTTGTCCGCGGGAGCCACGTCGGGCATCTTAGCCCGCGAATTCCGTGATTGGATATTCCACACACAGATGCACAGAGTGAACTTTACGGTTCTCCCGACTGTTTGTTAGAACGACGCCGCAATAGAATCCTACACCTCCGAAATTGGCGAGCGTCCCAAGAAAAGAAGTTTCTCTTTTCACCTCACCTCTTATCACTCAGTCACTATACACTAAAAGGCTTCGCGAACACCTTGATAACCGACCACGCGACGTTGCTGCGCGCACATACAGCCGCGAAAAGTGCAAGCCAACCCCGAACGCAATCGACACATTCAACACTCTACGTCGCTCATACGACGTACGTACATGTTCAGTTTCCCGACGTGCAACGGGGCTCTGTACGGTGGATGGATGGATGTGTAGATGGATACTTCCTTCCTTCTCTCTCGTTGTTCGAGATTCTCGATCCCGCAATGTTACCAACTATTGCATATCTTCTAGCTTTCAAACTGCGTATTTTATTTTGATAATTTTACAATGTTATAATTAATAATTGATATTTTTACTAAAATGTTATTCATAATATAGAAGTAGATAAGTGTTATTGATTTAAAAAGATTTTATTATATAAACGATAAAAAGGAAGACTTATACAAAAATAAAGGTTATAAGAATTTAAATACCACACACACATTTACATATTTCTCGCGGCTTGTCACTTTAAAATATTTTATTAGTAATTGCATCTATATCTATAACACTTTGAACTTAAATGGTTGATATGGATTAAATTTTGTATGTTTGAAACTATGTAACATGAAATATTGCTAGTAAAAGTTATAATTATTGTATAAATTTAATAGAATGATGAAAAACATTTGTATAGTTACGAATAGAGCGAATATAAATTTCATATATGTTTTTACATTTTTTTATTATATTATATAACTATTTAACTTAATTAAAGAAATAAAAAGTTCAAAAATATTAATTTAATGTAGAATAGATCATTTTAAAAATACATTTACACTTAATATTTTTATAAAGTATTTTTGTCATATTATAATATAAAGCAACAATTATGATATAAATGGATATTAAATCTATTAGTTAATTGTAGTTTTAATAATTGATATATTTCAACTTCGCAAAATTAATCATTTGTACATGTTTTAAAAGTTTTTATAAACATAATAAAGATTAGATATATATTTATTATAGCATAGATAGCACATGTAATAATATAAAGGAATAATATTGTACCAATATATAAAAACCATAAAATAAAAATTTTTGAACATCTGTGACATACATATAAGATACAAAATTTATAAATTAAATATAAAATAAATTTGATTCCCTAAGTAATGAATTATAAATTATTTTGTTTCAATAACATTTCTCAATTGGTGTTATTGTTACATTGTAATATTTATGGATGGTAATAACATTATAAATCAGAAGGAAAAATTGCAGTATGCATGCAATAATTTAAAAGTAATGTTTTAAAGTATAAAGTTCTCTTATTTTTAGTTCAACAGTTGGTCTCACTGTGTCGCCGGGCGGGTAAGTGTAATTTTGACAATACCTTCCGCCAGAGGCGCTGAAGTTTGCAATAACTTTTACTATTCGTTTCCGGTTTATGTGGTAGAGTAACGTCGTTCTTCATTTTTCGTTGTACATCCGTTTGTATGCAATAAGTATACACATGTAAGTCGTTTGTACTAGGTTATATCGTCTTCTACATGATACATGATGTAATAACACAAGATCTGACGAACATTAAAAGTTTTATGATTGTAATAATACCGGAAGTTCTGTAGTTTCGTTATCAATACGTATATTCAGAGTTCACAGAAATGGCGACTGCCGTGCCGTCGAGATTCGCAGTTCTCAGCATTGACGATGATGATCGTAAGCCGAAGAAAACTCAGAAGAATGTTACTGCCGGTAAGACGAATCAAAAATCTAAAAACGACAAGTCAAAACAGCAACAACAACCAAAAAAGGATGACAAGAAAAAACAAAATAAGGTATGATGTGTGCAGTCTTTGTTGTTTTTTTGTTTTTGATTAGCCGGTAAACGTCATAGTATTTACAGATCGTGGCGGGATCATTATATATTTCGAATTGTGTTTGAAGATTGACTTTGATTTTTATTGGCTGGGTTGAAATTTAACGTTCGTTTATTCATTTATAATAGAAAATAGTTATTGTGCTAATAAATTAAAATCTACAAAAAAAATTTGTTATTGTAAGATCGCATAATTGAGAAAAAGACTAATAATCGTGAATATAAATATGTAGGAGGACAATTACTGAATTACTTCTGCAAATTTCGTATTATGCGTGTGTATGTGTTTGTGCGCGCGTGCGTGTGTATGTATATTGTTTTGGAAGCAAGCGATCGGCAAATCGTGGGAGTAATGAACGAGGTTAATGGCTCCGATAAAAAGCGGCAAAATGACCTCTAACAAAATGCGCCACCGATGCTTAATTTTTAGTTTTGTATACAACGTTAAGAGCAATGAGAGAGACTTGACGATTATAAATTCCGGTGTATATCATTTTTCTGTTTTAATATATGTATATACATATATATATATATATATTTATTCGTGCTTGTTAGGACGAAGAAAATTGTTTTATTTTTTCAATTAACCTTCATATCTTACATTATTTTATATTTTTTCTTTATTTATAGGGGAAAAAGAAAAAAACTAATAACAATGCGAATCAACAATGGGAACAATGGAAACAAAAAGATACAATGGTAATATATAAATTATTTATTATATATTATGTTTATTTGCCACTAGCTTTATAAAAATTTGTTATAAATTTAATAGAATGATTTTTTATCTGATTCTGGTTAATCTTTATGTTTATACAATGACTGCCAACGAATTGTCTGTAATAAGGACAGCACAGGCTTGAATAATATGTGTGAAAATCATAGTTTAGTTTTAGATACAAATTGTTAAAGCTGAGGTTTTGTTTCAGTAGTGACATATTTATAAGTGTTGTGTGTTATCACGTCCAATTGTGATTTCCTTAAGGCTGTCGAGGGAACGTTTGAGCAAGAATTACATCAAGCCATCTTGCTGTCAAAGCTGGCTTATGAACAGCAGCTAGTAAGTGCAGCTAGGTCAGAAAAAGAGTCGAATAAGAAATCAGGGAGAAAATCAAAAAAGGCTACTATGACATTGAAGGAATTCAACAATATGGGATCAAATACTACTACACAAAATACAACATTACCTCCAGAATGTAATGATACTAAATTGAAAGGTAATATAATTTTATATTTTAAGTTTCCGATAAATATAAAATAAATTTAATTAATTATAATTTTACAGAATTAGGTACAGAATTTTTTGAGAGAATTGAAAAGGCAACAAAAGAAGAAATTACAAAGGAAAAAGAAAAGGACATATTCAAGGCAAGATTAGATAAAATGGATGATGTCATTACATCTGCTCAGTTAAAGGTAGAAGTGGAAAAACGTGATGTAATTATTCATGAATTAAAGAGTCAAGTAGAACATTTAAAAGAAGAATTAATACAAGTTAAAGAAAGAAATAAAAAACTTTATCAAATATTATCTCATGGCGAAAGTAGGTTAACAATTATTTATGCACAATAATTTACTGTTATTGTAAATGTAGTTAATCATCTATTATTTTATTTTTCTTTTTCAGTGAGAGATAAAGCGTCAGTATTAGCTGAAGTAGCGAAATTACAAGAAATACGAGATGAATTGACATCGGAAGTAACATCTTTACATGCACAGTTAGAACAAGAAAGGTCCAAAACACGTACTACTAATACAGATGTCAAACCATCTAAACAAACTGTAAGATTTTTTCCAGAATAACATTAAACAATATAATTCATTATATATAATTGTGTAATAAAAAATAAAATTATTTTTTAGAATAAGAAGAGACCCGCTAGCGAAAATGCCTAAACTACAGACTATTTTTGTTGAATATAAAGTACTAAGCCATTGTGATCTATAAAGCTTAATTTACTGCTAATGACTAATCAGTTAACAGTCTCAACACCGATGCGTAATCATTAAAACTTAAGATCTCATGAAAATGTATCACATACTTGACTTTAAAGCACATAAAGCAATTTTTTAAGTAAATATTTTTTAAACATAGAAGTTTACTCAATGAAAATGTAGTCATATTTTTCTAAACTGCATATTTTCATTTACAATTCAAATTTCTTTTCTTTGTAGTAAAATACAAGAATAATAGTTCCCTTTTCATTCAGATTATTTTATGCAATAATAGTCGAATTTAATTTTGTAGTCAAGTTTAAATGGGAAACTAGTGCTAAACTACTTCCAATATTGAAACTTGACAATATAAACAAGTACAGTTATCTTCCAATTTTTGTGCAGACGTCAGTGAGTATATATTATCCGAAGTATTTTGTAATAAATATATCCTACAGCATTCTTGTTGATGTTAATAATTTCCTTAATATTTTGTTAAAGCTATCAGTGAAATTAAAATATTTTCATATTGTACATTTTAGAAGTAATATTTTACTCAGTGCGAACATTTTTGGATGCAAAATAAAAGAAATGATTCAATTTTTTCTTCTATGAGACTGAAACAGAATTATATACATAAAAGAAAAATTTCAGGTCCTAAGTGTAAGCCATATTTATATACAAAATATCATCAATGTAACAAAAGAATTAACGAAAATATATTTTCTTCACAAAAATCATTTGACATCTAAAATTTATTTAATTAATTAATAAAAATGTTCATTCGACTGTGATATTATATTTGCATATGTAAGTGTATTACTTAACATGTTACTACATATAACATATTAGTTCCGACCAGAAGTAATTTGTTAGATATATTTGCAGATTCAACTCTTTTAACTTTAGGAAATGAAATTCGTTTGTAAATGTCAATATTTTTATGTTAAAATCTAATTTATATATTTTTTATCACGAAAGAAAATACTATTTCTTGAAATAATTGTATGTAACACATTTTCTTCATCTCTCTTTTTACAATCTTTGATTGCCGTCATTTCTACGTATCAATTCTATGTTTTTTTTCGCCATTTCTACCGGTGACATAGCCATTCGCACGATGCTAAGCTTTATCCGGATTATACGTACGGGTGCATTTTTATGGAAATTTTTTGTTCACTTTTTCTGCCTGGAGTTATTCCAGGCAAAATTTTTTTTCGACTCGCTCTCACTGGCTTCAACATTCAGTTCGATATGTTACACCTCACGTTCCAATTCTTTTTTCCGGCTTTGCTCCATTCGTTTCCGAGTTCACGGAAAAAAAAGGGGAAAGATGAGAGAGGATTTGCATGTACCATGATAAATTTAAATACGCATTATACTTTTGATTAAAAAGGGCCATCAGCTTAATTGTAAGCGGATAAACGAATGAGTTTTTTTCTTTTTTTCAATATGCAAAACATAAATGCAAATGAAATAATTATTTATTGAACATGAAATCGAAAATATTAAGGAATATTTTGTTTGAAGGAGTAAATTATATCAGATTTACTTGTTAAAATTTGTTCAAATGATTTGTTTGATTAAAATAAATTAATTCGTCTTGATTAGCATATCAAAAATTACGTTGGAGTGCTAAATGAAGTTTTCAAAGGTTGTTAATATTTAACTGGTATAATCAATGATTCGTTTAATTTTTAGAAGAGAACGAGTTTTAAGTACGACCCAAGCGTCTATTCAGCTTTTGACTGAAATCTTGACCAATAAAAGAGGCATTAGCGCTAAGTGGACGCTTCGCCTACTCGGTCATAGTCCTGTTTGCTACAAGAGTAGAGGGTGGAAATCATAAGGGGTACAGTTAGCGAGAGATACAACTAGAACCTAAGTAAAAGTCACATTTTCCTTATCATAGACTTACACAACAATCTAGTTACTTTTACTCCAATTTATTTGTACTAACAGAAAGAAAAATAATAAATATACCGATCTAGCAAACGTGTTGTACAGGAAAAGCAAAACTAATTATTCAATATATATATATATAATCTTAACTATAATCCTACAACGGTATATTTTCAAAATAAAGAAATATTTTAAATCGTATTAGCAAACCGTTATGTGACTATCTATTTACATTTTATGCAATATAAAAACATTAGATAATATATAAAACACAGGTGTACTGTAAAACTGCAATGTAAAATAAATTCCCTATTAATAACTACACAATATCGTGATATGATAAAGTATAATAAATAATTAGCTTATTATGCATATTTCGTGATCGACGTGATTAGTTCAGCTTTTTCGTAAGATCGATGCTGTGGTAGAGTTTGTTGTTCGATCAGTAAAAGTTGATGGTTTCGAAGCCTTCGCTGCGGAGAGAAAGGAAACGCGTACAAGAAAGGGACGACTAGAGAAAGAGAGAGTATGGCAAAGGGTGGGTTTTAGGACGTGGGATGGTAAAGGGGGTGACAGTGGGGATTCATTATCTGACAGTCTATTGTCATTCCTGCGGACTGAGATTTTGCTCGGGCCAAGAGCATCTGTGTGTGGTGTATGTGTGTGTGTGTATACATACTATACGTATGCGTGTAACGATACGCGATATCTGGCATCAGAAACGCGTTTGAAAAGTCAGACATTTCCTTCAGTTCCTTTTCGGTTCGTATTATTAGATAGGTTCTGGTCAAAGAACCTCTGCTAGACCAATAAGGTTCTTAATTTGCATGGTATCAACGTAAACGTTTAGTGTAAATACTGTCAAAGTATTGTGAACAAAGGATCATGTATGTAATAAATATTACAGTTCCATCTATAATTTTCTTTATTGATACGAAGCAACTTGAATTTTCTTACATTTTATAGAAAATGAGAAATAATAAATCATGTTTCGTTTGATTTAATGACATACAGAGGTACGTTTTAACACTGTATCTGGACAATTCATGTGAAAAAATATTGATGTCTAGGGAGAATAAATTGAATGATGCAAAAACATTAAAATGTAAGTGAGATATTAATTATTATATAATAATTAATTTTTGAGAACATTATTTGAAAAACATAAAATACGTTACAAGATTAGTCTTTTTATACGTTTAATAATATTTTTAGTTTAGATAAATTTGACGATCAATTGTACAAAGCTATGCTAGATTATGAACACGATATATAATAAACGATCTTTAGTTATAATATGTTAAATATCTCTTACGATTTTTATTAGCCAGCCTTTAAATATTTATTACGAATAGTAACAGGTAAAACAACTTTCTACGACAGAGTAAAAATTTTTATAAAACTTTACCAACAATTTTGACATTTTTCCATCTGTATGTATTTACTTATATCAACATGACTTATCTTATTGACTTATCTAACTCGCATTCACATACATACATATCGAGATAAAATGTCCAACATATTTAAAACGAAGAAAACGCAGCAAATACCAGTTTGGGAAGACAATTTTAACACAAAACCAGAAACAAACAAGACATAACCATAATATAAGTACTTCGAGCATTCTATACATATGTATATGTCTCTAGTAGAAGAAAAACGAAGAAGATTGCGTTCCAAATGATCGAGGATGCGTTGAATATTTAGGACTATATTCATTTGAAAGAAAATTATACATATTATAATTGTGGCTCGCCGGATGCCATGCCATGCACATTGTGTGTATACACAGTGGATCTGTCACGGTACAGCTGCAAAAGAAATTTCATATTCAAACAGGAGACAGCGGCCTACATTCTTTGTTTTATTTCAACAAAAGTAAATACGCGGCGCGCGAAAAAAAAGACGAACGGAAAATTAATCCAAACATTAGGCAGGAAAATTAAGGGGCCTGCTGCGAACAACGGTTGGCACTCGTTATTACGATCTTATTCATCGCGTGTATCCACAGTGTCATTAACGCTCCCGCGAATGTACTGTCGTTCGCGATATGAAGTGTCGTCGCCTATGTCGGGCCGCGAGAGAAAATTAAGACTAACGAGGAAAGCGTTTCTGTATCGTGAAACGGGAGGTCCTCTTCCTTCCAGGCGAAAAAGAAGTTTCGCGGAGACGATCTCGTCTTTCCACGGGGTATAATGAGATACCAGCGACGCCAGCTCGATCGCGCCCTATCATTTTTCACTACTGATCCAGGAAAGTATCTAACTCTCGGGAACATCGGTGATCCTGCATTTATCTTTTGTACCTCCCTACTTCGTTTGACACTGATTTACATTCAGTCAACTATTTTTTTGTTAATTTGTTTTTCTATCGATATTCAGTTTGTTGTAATAGGTTTAATCCGTTACATTCGACAAGTTGTTCAAAGGGAACATTGAAAATTTACTAGAGATAGGAAATATCTTAAACTTTATGCGTAGCTCTTAGCTTGGTATCGTTTTCCAAAAATTATTCTTTGGAAAACAATATCAATTACCAGATCTCACCACGGGGAGGTGGCTACGCATCGAGACCCAGACATGTGCCCTAGTGGCACAACCTGCTGGTGCTATCCGTATCAAAGATACCTTAATCTAACTTGGAGCGAAAGGAGTTAAAACGACTCTACTGACACTTTACAAATTTTCGTGTCTCATCAAACGGACTTCGATTCGATATACTAAAACTTTACTGTCGCAACGGTAAGATATTTTATTTTAATAAATGAAATATTAAACACGCGAGCAAGTAAAAAATCGCGACGCGCACGAACGAGTTCGCGATTATTCGAAAGACCGACTAGCCTACGAGACGTACTCTCGCGTACAAGACAACTTCATGCCTCGGCACCCTCCCGATCGAACCTAGCCCACCCAGCCACCGCAGACCCTGCCATGACTTACTCGCGAACGAGAGCGATCGACGAACCAGCGAAACACCCAAAATCAACCCGAGGGCCCCTAGCGAGGTCCTGTAGCCGGTCACGCAGGCCCCTGCCACATGGGGGAGAAATTAATCATCCCATGGGGTCTGACCGCAGGCCCATATGCAGTGTCCAGCTACAGGATCCATACCCCGGTCGTGCACGCGCTGGTGCCCAGGACGACTAAGGCCGACAGACCCTCGTATTGATTCCAGATGAGTGCCAGCCCGCCGACCACCCTAGAACCGA